GCGGGGGCGAAAGGGGGCGTGGTTCATTTTTGAAATACACTGGTTTCAGTGTGAGTATATAGCAGTCTGGATGCAAAATTTGAAGGCTCTAGCTCTTATAGTCTCTGAGAACTAGCCGACAAACAAGACGGACAGACGGACAGACAGACATGGCTCAATCGACTCGTCTATTGATGCTGATCAAGAATATTTATACTTTATGGGGTCGGAAACGTTTCTTTATGTGCGTTACATGCAACCGTTATACACACAAATACAATATACCCTATTTACTCTTCGAGTACCGGGTATAAATATCTATCAGATCACCGAGTTGGAATTAAATTAGATCAAACATTATCATTATCACAGCCAGAATGAAAAAATGCATTTTTAGTGGCTGCGACCACTCCGCCCCGGAGTTTTTTTATATATTTTGCACATTCTCTTCCAGCAATGTGCGGCTTTAGGGGAGGGAGCCGGGCGAAAAGAGCGTGTTGGCTTGGGAAGTGATGTAGATGTACATAGATGACATATTTTAAAAAGGTGTAAAATATGAAAAAACTACTAAGGTACAGTAACCTACTAAGTACCGGGTATAATATTTGTGACGCGTAAAAAGCGGCTTACACGTCTCTCGTTTTTATAGAAATTTTCAAGTCTGGTATTTTTTGTAACTGTTTTTAGAGGTTGCGCTTCTTTATTTCACATATGTATCCGATATCTGGTTGTAATGAAGTTATGATTTTTTTTCTCTGCCGCTGCGGCAGCTTAGCAGAATACGAAGTCATCGCGTCGTTTCCCTCAACGTTTCCCTAAAAAATAATCCATTAATAATTGATGAATTTCCCTAAAAAGTGAAGGGTTACCTGAGAAAAAAACTTGTACAAATTGAGTATAAAAATGTTTTATTTCCATTTATTTATTAAATTTGAGGTTAACATTCAGTCCTGTTATGTGTTTTTTCACAGAACCTATTAGTGAATCTGTTGTTAGTATTTCCGAAAGCCCGAATAGTTTTTTTTTAGTGCTCTTCACCTGAATCACCCCTGAAATAAAATGATCAATTATGTATATGTGGTGTGTTTGCTTTTTGTTTAAACTTTCTTTCAAAGTCACTCCAGGATGAGCCCGTCTCTAAAATGTTTTGTTTTTTTGTTGATGTAGTAATACAAAAAAAAAGAATTTACAATATCAAAGACAAAACACTTCAAAATTAGTACCTGCTCGACTTTAGGGTTGGTTTTTCTGTTTTTGTTGATGGACCGTTTGCAAAATGAAATTTCGTGTAAAACGAAAGTCGAAGCCGACTGCAAACTCAAACTATGTTACGCACCGCGACGAAACGAAATACAACTAAGAACAAAAAAGAGTTTGGGTTGACTTCGTCTTCTGCTCTGCTACCGTAGCGGCAGAGATAAAAATCCTAACATACGCGCTATCTGACATTGTCATCAATGTTTTCTGTTACTGCAGGGATACGCTATTGCCTTGCTCCGAAAAGCGGCTAATTAGCGCCCAATTAAATAATGAATACGGGCTACAGTCATTTGGAAAGGTAAACAGCTTTATTCACATTTATCTAACATGAACCAAGTGGCGCGAGCGGAAAGGCGAAAAGGGGAACAGTTTGGGAAGGGCAGCAGGCGGACAGATGGATGAATGCTCAGATCTGAGGTGGCTTCGAGTCATTGCTTAGAGTTGATAACGACTGCTCAAACTCAACGGACTCCACCTGACGCCTGTCCGGATTGTGGGGCGGCGGCCCAATCAGTTTTACCACCTCATCGTAGTCCAATGTTTCCTTTTCCAGAAGAGCCTCGGCTAACTGGAAGAAGAGCGGAATGGTATGGCAGGTCATGGAAAGTTGAGAGACAGAAAATAGAAGAATGTAGCTGACCTTCTCTAACTTGTCGCGGTGTTTTACAAGTATGCCCTCGGTTATTTGGTAGGCCTGAGACACGACTTGGCGAGCCTCGTTGTCGATCAGGGTTTCCATGGCTCGTGAAAAGGGTTTTGAGCCACCGCTCGACTCCCCACTCTCGGAATCGCCCGCATCGCGAACGTAGATGGGCCCGAGGGTCTTGTTCATGCCAAAATTCTTGATCTGGGCGTAGGCGATCTTGGTGACCTTTTCCAGATCGTTCTGAGCCCCAGTCGTAATGCGATTGAAGACCAAGTTCTCAGCCGCACGTCCGCCCAGAGCCATGCACATCTTGTCGAACAGCTCCTCCTTGCTGTACAGATGCTGCTCGCTGGGAGTATACTGGGCAAAGCCCAGGGCCAAGCTGGTACGCGGCACAATGGTTACTTTGAGCAGGATGTCCGAGTGAGGCAGCATCCAGCCCACAAGCGCATGTCCGGACTCGTGATAAGCAATAACTTTGCGCTCTGCCAGTGACAAGGCATGTGAACGCTTCTCAGTGCCACCTATGGGAGAAAAAGCGGCAATAAAAACGATACAATTTGGATTTTTTGCCATCTTCGGCTTTGCCACATTTGAGTGAAGCCTCTAACGCACCAACTAAGCGCTCTACGGCGTACTCCAGGTTCTTAGTGTTAACTTCTGTCTGTACGTTTCGGGCCGCATGAAGAGCGGCCTCATTGCAGACGTTGGCAATGTCGGCCCCAGAAAAACCGGGCGTAAGGCGGGCTAGACGATTAGAGAAGGTGCTGGGCGGGGCGTCCAGCTTGACTGAGGACAAATGCTTCTCGAAGATCTCCTTGCGCTCCTGCAGCGTCGGCAGGTCGATTAATATGTGGCGATCAAAGCGGCCGGGTCGTAGCAGCGCCTAAACCCAAGTGTTTCGATAAATTGTGCTTAAAATAAATCATCTTTGCGAAGGGTTCCGTGCTCCACTTACCTTGTCAAGGATATCGGCCCGATTCGTGCTGGCCAGCATGAGGACACCTTCCTTGGTGGCCATGCCGTCCATTTCGACAAGGAGCTGATTGAGCGTCTGTTCCGACTCACCGGAACCGCCCTGGCCCATGGACTCAGTGCCGGACCGCTGGCGTCCAATGGCGTCAATCTCATCAATGTAGATGATGCAGGGCGCCCGCTTCTTGCCCTCTTTGAAGAGATCCCGAACGCGGGCGGCGCCTAGGCCGCCAATCATCTCGATGAACTCAGAGCCGTTCATACTGAGGAAAGGCACTTGAGCCTCTGTGGCCACTGCCTTGGCCAGCAGCGTTTTTCCGCAGCCGGGCGGACCAAGAAGTAGGGCTCCGCGAGGCACTTTGGCGCCGAGGCGCTGATACTTTTCTGGCGTCTTCAAATAGTCAACAAACTCCTTAACCTCCTGCTTAGCCTCGTTGAGCCCGGCCACGTCTCGGAATAAGACGCCACGTCCGCCGTCGAAAGGATCCACGAGCGTAAACTTGGCCCGACCCATTTGATTCTGCAATTGGGGTAGAGGTTACTCAAAGATCTGTCGCTTTAAGATTGGCAGGAAAAACGTACCAACGAGTCCATGCTGAGCGGGCTCTTGATGCTCTTCATGCGAGTGGCAATGGACAGGAACAGGGCGCATATGAGCAGAAGCATAAGAATGCGACCCGTGGTGTCCGACTGACGATCGTAGGTGACGGGTACACCATCCTTAATGCCCAGACGCTTCTCCACGTCGCGCAGCTTCTCCTCAAACTTGGTGGCATCGGCCACAGCCATGTGAAATATGTTTGAGGTCACTTTCCTGCCCTTGATGACGGCCCCTTCTTGAAGTATAATAGTCACCATTTCCATGTCGGGGCGTATAATCAATTCTTTCACCTCGCCTACCGCCAGCATGTGATGCACAAACTCATTCCACGACACGTATCGCGTCGAGCCCTGTCCGTAGACGGTAAATATCAAGTAAAAATTACAATTAGTAAAATATTTCAGATAAAGTAAAAGATCATTACCTCGGGCCTCTCCGACCGAGGGGTAATCAGCAATGAGAAGAATGCCACAAACATGTAGATGGTGAACAACCAGAGCACAGCCTTGGTCAACACCGAACGCATCTTCTCATCGTTTTCATTGCCTTTTTTCCCCCCGTCTTCAGCCGGATCACTGCTGGCATTGTTGCTAGAGCTGGCATCGGCCGAGAACTCCTCTGCTTTGGCTTTGGTGCTGCTGCTGTGAGATGTGGGCGCTGACGGCAATGGTTTATCTTTGACGGAATCGTCTTCATTAGACTTGGATGACGTTTTCTGTTTGCTGGCATTGCCAGTTTTGCTGCTCTTGCAGTCAGAGGGCTTTTCAGATGTTCCTGTGCTCATGCAGCGCAGGTGCAAGCTACGCACCTCATTCGGAGTGAGTTGCAGAGAACGTGATATCAGACCCACAACCGCTTTGTACTCCGCCTCCAAATTGCGCACCTGGTAAATATTATTCGGCTTTATTTCTCTATCTGCTCTGCGGCTGTCTTCTTACCTGTCGCCGGCTGAGCGGCAGGAAACGGAGCTCCCGTCTGCCACAATACAGTTCCGTCATATTTTGGGTGTCTGCAAATTGGCGGGATCCACTTTGAAGCAGATTTCTGACATGCCGCAGTCCCTTCAACATAATTTGCCGGAGTTGACCTTCTCTCCACCCCCTGGTACACGAATACGTAACTCTGTTATTTGCTCGAAATTAAAAATTACTATTCAGAGTTGCCGGATCGCCGTAAAACAATGACAGCAACAACAGCTGTATTGTGCTGTTTTTTTTTTTTTAGATGTTAATTGGTTATTCAAGCACTAATATCCGTATTCGGCGGAAAACATTCCAGAAAAGCTCGCCTGAGTTTGGTTCTTTAGCCGATCTGGTGACAGCGAATCACACTCACACGCTTTAATTAAGTGTAGTGGAACCTTTACGTTTGGACAATAGAGATATCGATAGTTAGATGGATAGATGCAGTCGATTCTTCGACTTTCATTTTATCAAATATTGTTGGCTTTTTATTTAAAAAAAATGTTTCGAAAAATCTTGGCCGCTTTAATAAGTAAACAAATTAAAGCGGCTATTTTTTAAATAAAAAATAATAATAATAGTGCTATACAAATTTTACTTCGTACTACGTAATAATAATGTCACTGAATTGAGTAGCTAAATTTTTTAAATGTTGTCACTGTTCATTAAATGGCATTTGATCGCACTGCTCTCAATAATTATTGTTCACTGATCCATCAAAAGGACCCATGTTGTCACCAAAATCCTGCATCTCCTCCTCGTTTTCGTCGAAATCATCGCCCAAATCCTTAGATTCAGGACACTTTCGACAGCGACTCTCGTTTACGCCGTAGTTAATACATGTTGAGCCCACGCACTCACAGCAACCGTCGTGGAACCATCTAATTTGTTAGATTGCATTAAAATACACAGTCAATTCGTTATATTTTCATAATTGTCACCTGGTACTGCTGGCACCTGTGGTCTGACAACTCTTCCGACACTTATTCCAGGAAACGCACTGGTCCAGATATATTACCGTGCAATTAACTGTTACAATGTTGTCTCGCTCCTGGATGGCTTCGTCTAAATTTTTATCATTTGTTCCTTAAAAACAACAAACACGGTTAAAAACCAAGTGATAATAGCACTGGGTTTGAAAATTACATACTCAAATAATAATGACCATCCTTTTCGAGTTTTGGACCTTTTAAATACTTGTCAAAATCCACTTGAAACGTGAACACATTCCAATTGTAGCCGAAACTATCACTGTCATCCGGAGTTGTGACCAACACATTAAACAGCTCAGGCACACCATCGAAATCTTCGACATGAGATTTCTTTGACAGCGAGTTGCGCGTGTCGTTCGGCTTCGGACAAAGCTCTGTGAATTTAAACACAAATATATCAATTCAAACACGTATCAACATGTATCAACTGAGTATCACCACTAAGCAAACAACTCATAGAGTGTGCAAACGTGGTAAAAACTGGCTGCCTAAGAATTGATTTGTTTTTTTCTTTTCAAGTCGCTTTCGTAGTCTCGTGTGTGTCTCTCTATGTTTATTCAGACAGCGTACGCTGAATACTCTAATGGAAAATATTTGTAACGCCAAGTCAATTGCGGTTATGCATTATTTATATACATATCTAAATGTTTATAACTGTTTATCCCTTTCGTCCTAACTGTATTTAAGAAATATATAAGCATAGAGAGGATCCACAAAGTCAATTAATTTATTTTTTGGGGCAAGCTGAAGGGCTCAAGTTTGAAGGAAGGGTATGTGAGCTCAGAAGCAACACAAAAGTGCCAAGCGTGTCAAGCGCTAAAAATGAAAACGCATATGAAGTCGAGAATAGCTACACGCATTGCCATCATGTGTGTATGTACATATGTGTCACCGCCACACATGAAATTACGAAGCAGACTTGAAAAGGAAAAACAAAATTTTGTTTTTGCGAGAGTCCCTTTGCGTTCAATGCTCAAGAGAGGCAACGCCAAACTCTCTCAGCTGAAGGCTCTCTCACCAAGAGCCGAAGGCACTGGGAGCCAATCCACTAAACTGATTAGGCAGCCAGTTTTTACCACGTTTGCACACTCTATGAGTTGTTTGCTTAGTGGTATCACTTAAGGATCGGTAAGCTGCTAGTCGGTAGCTCAGAACAGCTATCGATAGCTACATAGTTGGCACATCGCCGCTCGCACTTGCACCCACACTCACATATGCGCAAGCAACACATTTGGAGGCAACAAAAACAGAGATTGGAGATTGCCATCACCATGAAGAAACTATAAGGAGGCCTCGTCGGTGGCAGAGTTACTTGCTGGTTCTGCCCATAAAGCAACTATATAAGGAGGCCTCGTCGGTGGCAGAGTTACTCGCTGCTTTACCCAATTCTCAGTGCTCGTTTGCTTGTTGACGCGGAAGGTTGGTTGCGAATGCATTTTTTTTTTTAATTTTTTCAAAATATTTATTTTTTCAGAACACAGACTACTATTATGAAGCAAAATATTAAAAATTAAATTATGAAACAATTATTATGTTTTTTCACATTGCCTTCAAATGATTAATCAGCACACTCCATTGTCGTTGCACTCACACTTACAGCGAGAGCCCTTTCACTCGCACTTTTCACTCGCACTAGTCCATAATTTTTTCCGACGAGACCTCCTTATATAGTTGCTTAATGGTTCTGCCCTAGGTTCAGTGCACGTTTGCTTGTCGACGCGGAAGGTTGGTTGCGGACGAATGTTTTCTTCATGATCAGCACACTCCACTGTCGTTGCCCTCACACTTACAGCGAGAGCCCTCTCACTCGTACTTTTCACTCGCACGTTCTGCTTTGATTCTCCGACGAGACCTCCTCATAGTTTCTTCATGGCCATCACCACATATTTTTATCCCCACCCTCAGTAGGGAGGGCATTACATTACTTACCCACACAGCTGCAACACTCCTCGTAGTACTTCTTCCCCAGGCACTTGAGACACTCTTTGCAGCAGGAGCAGTTCTTGAGTTCGCACTTGCAGCTCTGGGTCAGCATGCACTTAGATACGATGGATGCGCAGACGACTTCATTGCACGATTCCACATGGCCATAGAAGCACACGAGTCCCAGCAGCAGAAATGCGCCAACTGTGAGCGATCGCCAAATATCCATAATGTTAGATGCTTTGGAGGATTTCATATGATTGCACACGGTGGACAAGGAGGTGGCAGAGGCAACAGAAACAGGCAAACACAACAGCAGTGGACGGTAGTTGGGAAGGCTTTGACTGATATGTAGATACTATATAGTGTATAATAGATGGGAATACGATCTTTTCTGTTTCGTACGTATCTACATACATACATATGTAAGTATTAAAATATGTAATTCTATGTATGTACGGAGCAGTTGCGCTTGAGTGATTGAGCAATTACAAAAAAAATAACAATTGGGAAAAAAAACGCACAAACACACAGGTTAACAACACATGTAATTGCACGGCATTCCATTCGATTCAAACACTTTCAATATGAATTATTGAAATACGCATCTATATACATATTGGAGCAGACTGAGTCTATGAATATCCGTATTTCTTAAAGTATTGGACAAGCGCGTAACAACAGCAACAAGAAACGACACCACAACGTACACTAAGACAATAACTATCGAGCGACAGATCAGAGTCGAGAGATCCGCAGCGGCAACACAACGGCAGAGGCGACAACGAGACAGAGACGGCGGCGGCGTCAGCTAGCTTGTTTTTATTATTGGCGCGATCCGCAACGCAGCAGGGCACTACTGCCTTTTTTCTTTCCGATTCCAGTCCAAGCCCAGAGGCTAGCAGCCAGAAAGCTAGATACAAATACGAATACGCGAATTGAGCTCACACACAGATTAAAACCCACCACACGCACGCAACCTCGACTGGGGCTTAGAAACGTAAACACGTTACGTAGCGTTGATGACGCTGACGCCGGCGCTGCTGGCTTTGGTTGTTGACAATTCTGGCGCTGATGCTGAGATGCTTGCGTTGGTTGTCAGCAAGGGGACGGGTCGGTACGGACGGATCGGATCGGAATAGAGGCAAGCGCACGCGTACGTTAGCCGAATGCTCAGCTACCACAAACAACATTTATTAATACATACATACAAGTTCATACATGATGTTTCAAATGTGGAATTAGAGATGGGCAATACTATCCGAGTATTAAGCCTGATTAATTTTTTCTAAATTAAAATGGCAATTAAAAGATAACCTCTACGCCAGGTAAGTGTTGGAGTAAAACTGTAACAAGTTACATATCTCGACGTGGCGATTTCCACCTTGTAAAGGCGGGCGGCCAAATACTCCCCCTCTACCCAAGGGTAGAGCGGTAACATAAAACCTCAAAGAAAAAAAAAGCCTGATGAATTTACTGTTCAGCATGCATATGTATGTTTTCTGCTATGTTTTTTTTTTCTAGGTTGTATTTCCTTAATTATAACTAGCAAATATCCTGAAAAATATCTACATACATACGTATGTATGTAAATGGAAATATTAAATAATAAATATGTAATAGAAAAAAGAGTTTCCTTCAGTTTTGTCTACGAAATTTCACAAATATGGGAAATGCATCTTAGTCAGGACACACCTGTTTTGTTGAAGTATTAGTTGCTTTATTTTAAATTCGCAAATATACTTACATACATATGTATAACTCTCCACCCTAGCACTATTGCGTATCGATACCAAGCCACAGCGGTCTGGCAGCGCCATCTAAACAACAACAAAAACTAACAGAAAGGAAGGATGCAAAATTAAACATATTTAAAATGTTTATGTTTCGAAACTGTGCTGTTCTCCTGGTGATCGGCTCGATCTGTTGTTTCATATATGGAATCATTAACCTGTACGTGGACGTAGAGCCGAATGCCTGTCGCATGACCTATATGTTTGGGCAGCCGATGTTCTCAGTAAGTTGTCAGAGACTAGCACAAGCACACACAACATACAATATCTTTGGCAAATACAGCGTGTTCGGACAAAGAACGGCGAGCTGTTTCCCAATTACAGACTTTTCTACTACTACGAGGAAGTTAGGGATCCGGCGGACCCACTTACAAGGCGCATGACCGGAGCGCCGGTTATTTTTGTGCCCGGCAACAGCGGCTCCTATAAGCAAGTTCGATCATTGGCCTCCGTAGCCCTACGCAAGGCTCTGTCCAACGAGGTGGGCATTCATTTGGACTACTACACCATCGACTACGATGAAGAGCTGTCGGCTCTCTATGGCGGCTACTTGCATCACCAGCGACGTTATCTTAAGCTATGCATCCGCACAATCCTGTCCCTCTACAAGGTGCACAGTGAGCAACCGTCCATTGTGCTCATCGGCCACTCAATGGGTGGTAAGCTGGCGCAGTCTGTTCTTACAGACCTAAACATTGGGCAGCACATAAACACAATTATTAGCATTTCAACGCCCCTGGACCAGCCCGTGGTTAATTTGGATGCTCAACTGAACGCTTTTTACGCACAGACGGATAGTGCCCTCAGCAAGACTCGCACCGCCACTCTACCGACGACTCGAACCAATGTCTGCAACAGCTTACACCAGAAACCGCCAAATGTCCAAAACATGGCTCTACAAGAGACATCCGCAAAACTGGACAACGTTTTGATCATCTCGACGGGTGGCGGTAACCGCGATCTTCTCGTGCGCCCGGGCCTAACAACCTCCAAGTATAATGATCTCCACGCCATGGTAAGTTTCAATATGATATGATCCCGACTCCATACGCTCTCTATTTTGTTACTTATGTTACCTTAAAGACCTCTGCAATACCCCGAGTGAGTCTGAGCTGCGACCATTTGTCTGCTGTTTGGTGCTTGCAGTTCATACAGGCCATCAATGGTTTCCTCTTCAGCATTGCACAGGTGCGAGCCGATCGGTCAGTGATCTTTGGCATAGAAAAACAACGAAACCTGCAGTTGGCCCTGTCGCACTTTATGGTAAATTCGAAAGCCCATTACAATTTCTTCTCCATTTTTCGCGTCTGGTTTTTCAGAAGCCCACAACGCGCCCGCATCACACCATGAGTCTATCCGTCGCCAACAATTGGAACGAGGAGCGACGATTAGTCATAAATAAGTACTTCGCCAATGGCCTTAAGACTTCCTTCTTTGAGCTGATTGGGCTTAAGCGCCATAAGCGCTACAAGAAGCTGGCCATTGAGACGCTGAATGCGGACGAGAGCGAATGGCTATTCGGCTGCACTGCCCAGATCCACAAAGAGACGGGTCAAACTTACTGGTAGGTTTTCCTTCCTGCTCAATGATAGAGACCAGACCACGTTACATACTTCTTTTGTGGCATTTTAGCGAGAGGGCCACACCGCTCATCCATCTAGTTCAGCGGCTGCCGAACAGAGAGCGAGAGCCGCGAAGCATTGCCGTGCTGGATCTCCACAACCTTCGCAATACCTACTTGGAGTGGACACATGTTCTGGTACGCATACCAGCGGGCAGCGGCCATCTTGGTTACAATCTAGACATTTACGATCCTCGGGAGCGGTACGTTGACATCCGCCTTCCACGCTGGTACTCCTTTGCCAGGAAAGTCGCCGTGAATGAAACGCTTCAGGGCACACTACACTACAGGCTGCATATCAGCGACCTCTTCGATCCGTACCAGAGCCTGAGAGTGATCATTGAGCCCCTGAAGTGCCTCAATCCACAGTATCGCGTCACGGCTAGGCTATGTGTTCCTTGGGCGGCGGGTTTTGAGCGATTTCAAACGTTGACGTGAGTTCTCGAATTGCTTCTATAATGTTTCAGTCAATAGTTGATCGTCTTTCCGTTATCCGATCCGATCCGCTCCGCAGCTCTCCAGAGGAGAAGCCTCAGCTCTATGCGAACGTACCCACCCTACTCCCCAAGTACTATAATACGACCCTTAATCCAGTCACAATAGACTTGTACCTGGACCCCATCTGTCGGTATCGCATCAGGTAATTGAACACTTCTCGACTTTAACTGGTTTAAGGCTTGATTGATGTGGATTAATGATTCTCCAATCTCCCTCTTTCTCCCTCTTGCTGACGTCTTCCATCTCACTCGGATTAATTTGCTTGAACTAAGCTATGAGTATGGCTACTCCTCAGCGCTCTCTCGACTGGTCCTGGAGTTCTACGGCTGGCTGCCGGCCCACCTGGCATGTGTGCTGCTCATCGTTCTGCGGAAGAAGGTTTCCACCGATCAGGAAGTGGGCAGTTTTATAAGCCTAAAGCCCTACACCGGCTTTTTGCAGTACACGTCACTATTCGTGGTCACAGGTTGTCCGAGAGAAATGCTCCACCCATGTAGTCGCACAATGTAAACAAGTTTTTGGTTTCCTTGCAGCCTGTCGCCTGCTGAAGAAGCTGATACTGAGCAGCCGCGTGCTGCCCGCTCCAGAGCCCTTGGACTACAGCATCAACGTGTCAATTTTGATCCACTGCGCAGCAATTGCGGTCACTTTGGTGGCAGCTTTGGGCACCTGGCTGGCCCTATCGCTCTACGGTAACGCATTCTATTGCTTGGCCATGCGTCTGACGCGACACTCGCAGGGCAGCTCCAACATACTGATCTCCGTAATGACTCATCTGCCCATTACTTACGGCATCCTAACAATTGCGACGGCCATAGGCACCTACAGTGGAGTGGGTCTACTGCTGGCCTTTGTATTCTACTTTCTCATGCTGTCGAATGCCTATAAGGATTACCTAGAGGACTTCCTCTGGGAAAAGGCTGCCAATTTGGTGCGCGGCACACTGGGTGAGCCGGCTGCTACAGGTGCAGGATCTCAGGAAACTGGCGACATACTGTCGGCCATGGATGATGGCCATTCGGACGATAATAAACAACAGCAGCAAGAGGACAAGGAGGAAGAAATGGAGGCAGCACAAAAGGGAAACGGTGCAGATTCAGAGCCCTGTTTGGGCCTGCAGAACTTTCCCTTTCACGTAATCTTGTTGTTGATGCTTCTCATGCAGCTCCTGCTCAATGCACCCAGCACATTGGCCTGGGTCCGATCTCGACGGTAAGTGAATGTTCCAACAACACTCAAAAGAGTCCCTGAAGATGTCTTCACTTCTTCGCCCTATCCTCCTTAGGCATGGAATCGATCTGCCCGACCCGGGCTTGCAGCCCAGTATCGTCATCCTGGTCTCCCTAAGTTTATTGCTGCAGTTTCGGGCGCCCCAGAAATGGTAATAAAACTTGCACCAATCTTAACCAACTCATTCTCACCTAGTCTCTCCTCTCCTTTTTTCTTGCCTTTCTTAGCTCTGGCCATTGGATGATTTCCATACTATTGTACGTGCTCGCGGGGATTGTTCTGCTGTATTGCCAGGCAGCCATCTACAGGCTCAACTTTGTGTTTGCCGGTGCCTTCGCCCTGCTGTCCGCCCACCAAGGACTCTTGATTCTGTGGCATCGCCTGGCCTAAACTGGGACAAGCGCTTGTGCTAATTTGTTATTTATTTGTCCATTAGTTAATACAGCTATTAAGTTAGAGCGTCCGCTCTATGCCAATACCAGTGTCGAAGTTTTACGGTCTTCGGTCTTACATAAACACGGCAAGCGGCCTTTGCAATTACAATTAAGCTGATATTGGTCATAGCGGGAAGTCCAAACTAGTCTGAGGCGCATTGCACATTTCTTTACATAATTGTTTTTTACGCCTGCTGCCCGTGATTATGGTAAGCGATATCAGGAATCAGGTGGTAGGCATGCCAATTACCATTTACGCGAAATGTGTGAAAATTCCCAATAACAAGGCCAATTCAAGATCAAATTCCTTATTTCTTTTCCCATTCAAAGGCGGCTTTAATTGTAACCCTTTCATTGCCTAGTCGATACTCCTTGTATCAGACCACCGGATATTCGCACATGAATGTTAGGCTCAACCAAGGCTAATCTATATTTATATGTATGTACATGTAATATATATGTATATACGACCAATACATGTTTGGGGAAATAAAAACTAAGAAAAAACTTATTTTTTTCGGTCCCTGGTCCTGATATTTATAATTAGTCGAAATAAAAAAAATTCCTCTTGGTTCTCTTAAAATACCAATTGCTTGCTGGCGAGTGTTGGGCTACGAATTCATTGAATTCATGTCGGTGTGGCTGTAGCGCCCCGAATTCAATTCGTGGCTGAAGACCTCTTTGCTCAAAAAGTCACTTACGTGGCTGGACCACTTTCATCCAGACCCAGCCTCATCGGTCTTAATTTCTCATTCGGCAGAGTGTTGAATGCGATTTTAAAAACTGCGTCACATAAAACGAGAAGGGACGTGTGAGACGCTTCTTACGCGTCACAACTTTTATACCCGGCACTCAGTACTACATCTGCACCTTAGCGGTTATTTGTCAAATTTTACATTTTTTCTTCATCTGTCATCTACATCGACAACATAACTCACACCAACACGCTCCTTTAGCTCCCCGCCCTTCCCTAGACCCACACACTGCAGACTCGCGGCAGAGGCAGCGCCCGCACACAACAAAAAAAAACAAATATAAGCTGCGGGACGGGGTAGTTAAAAGTCGGCAGGTGCAAAGGCAGGGGAAGGGCAGACGCAGGGGCCGGGTAAAGAAGAAGCAGAGTGCGAATGAGAGAATGTAAAAAGAACAACAAAAGCTGCGGGACAGGGTGGGTTTAGCCACTGAAAATTAATTTCTCCATTGTGGCTATAATAATGATCCAATCGGATCCCGTTTTTAGTTTTCTTTTATCTTCAAAACTGTAGGTTTGGGAGGTTTCGCCCTTTTGCGTGGGCGGAATGGGGGGGTTTAGTTTTGAAATACACTGGTTTCAGTGTGAGCATACAGCTCTAGCTCTTATAGTCTGTCTTATGTCTATATCGACTCGGCTATTGATGCTGATCAAGAATATATATACTCCATGGGTCGGAAATGCTTCCTTCTGTGCGTTACATACAACCTTTATTCACACAAATACAATATACCCTATTTACTCTTCGAGTACCGGGTATAAAAGGTCTGTCAACGCGAATCAGCGAGTTATGGCGATTTGGCTTGATTGTTGATTACAGATGGGGTGGGGTTTCGCTTCAGTTCAGTAGTCGAACACGTTAAATGGTATAATGAGTGGATAAAATAAAGTACATTTGCTTTAATTTTTGTCTTGCGATATTCCTCTTATATCCTACTTATGTAGCTACTCAGTATTTTTGAAGACCTATGTATACAACAAAATGAGTAAATAATTATAGGTATGTACATATTTATGTACATATGTACGTAAGACTACCGCATGCTATATCCCTCTCTTTGCCTTTTGGCAAAGACTCTCTATCTCTCTCAATCTTCCCACAATAGAACAGCCCATGGTGAAATCAGTTACAAGGTGACGTCGTCAGCCATGAAGCAACTAAAATCCATATCTACATACTTACATACATATGTGTACATATTCAAATGTTTTAATGCCATGTACTTTTTAACAATTTTTTTATTCTTGGTTTTAATAATAAATATTTACACTTATATTTTGTGCATTCTGGTGTTCCAAGGTACCATACATAGTTATATGTAATTCATATCTACCAGAAGGCCGCATATCCGCAAAATATTTTTTGCTATGCCGCTCCAACTGTTTACTTTGCTGTCAGCAGAAATAATAAAAGCGAAGAGCTTGCCTCTCTGAGAGCTGAGAGAGCGTGGTGAATAAGCAGGTGCTCCTCCACTCCGCTGAGTCGTGGTGAAATTAGTAACAAGGTGACGGATTCACCACAGTGCCTTCTCATTCGAGGAGCACCAGCTTGTCAGTCGTTTGCCAAACGTCGACGAAAGAGGTTGTGTAGCGCACGGTTTTTTCATTGTCTTCTTCCTTTTCTTCATTGTTTACGAATGAAGACGTAAGCGGAAAACAATGAAATATGCATGCAACTACTTTAATCTTTATTCAATTAAATCTTTTTTAGAAAAAAACATGTCTGCAAAATATTTATTGCTATTCCGCTCCGCTTTGAACAAAATAGTTCAAAACATATAAAGGAAATCAACAAAACAAATAAGAAATAAGAAAACAAGCAAATAAAAGGAAGATGACAACTATAAAGGAGGACCCGTCGGCTTTTTAAAGGGAAACGTAACAATAAGTGCCCTCCTTTATAGTTGCTTCATGCGTAACACAACCTCTTAAACTACTGACAAGCAGGTGTTCCTCGAATGAGAAGGAATTAAATTTCACCATGGAACAGCCCATGGTAGAATTACTAATAGGTAACGTCGTCAGCTGAGTGGAGGAGCACCTCTTCTGCACTCTTCGCTTTTATTATTTCTGCTGACAGCAAAGTAAACATTTGGAGCGGCATAGCAAAAAATATTTTGCAGACATGCGGCCTTCTGGTAGATATGAATTACATATAAATATGTATGGTAGCTTGGAACACCAGAATGCAAAAAATATAAGTGTAAATATTTATTATTAAAACAAAGAATAAAAAAAATTGTTAAAAAGTACATGGCATTAAAACATTTGAATATGTACCTATGTATGAAAGTATGTAGATATGGATTTACGTAGCCTTTATGTATGTGTGTGTATATTTGTACTGTTAAAGCTTAGATAGAAGAAGAGGGACGAGTATAACAAGGAATGCACTAGAGAACCGGCTACTACTGCCAATATGCAGGAACGACCTGGGCCGGTCCTGGACCATATTTCAGATACCCTGGGGACGGCATCACATCGATCCTGGAAAAAAGTTGAATTTCGAGATAAAGTTAGCAGCAGTGTCGGAGGGATATACAAACCGCATGGGCTCCGGCTCTGAAGGAGCGGCGCGATAGTAGCGCGGTCTGGGCGCCACATAGTTGCCAGAAGCAAAGCTGCGTGGATTGGCGACGGGAAAGCGAATAGAGGCGGCGTTTGAGGACTGACCGCCGACCCGTGCCCGGGCTCGTGATCGCGCGACTGTAGTGGTGCGGGCAGTGGCAGCCGCTGGTCCGTTTCCTGCAGCGACACCGGTAGCGCCGGCTGCTGCCAAGCCACCACCAAGTCCCAGTCCTAGACCAGAAAGACCACCAAGTCCGCCCAGACCGAGACCGGCGGATCCTGCGCCAGGCACTGGCGTCTGCCACATAGCGGCTAGTTGAATGGGCACCAAGGCTGGCAGCGAGACGGTAACCGGCACACCGGGAGGAGGTCCAGCTGGAGCCTCTGGGACCGGTTCTGGTGCCTCCGGTTCTAGTTCCTCTTCCTCCTCCTCGGGGGGAGGAGGAGTGGTTGTCACCTCTGGCTCTGGCTCGACCTCCGGCTCGGGTGGTGGTGAAGGAGTCGGATTGGACTCGACATCTTTCCAGGCTGCCAGCAGAGCGAAAAGCTCGTCCTTTGTTACATGCGGGCTCGACGAGGGTGGCAGGGGGCTGAATCCGAGGCTGGGAGCGGGACTGGCCCAGCCGCCTCCGCTGCTCCAATCCACCGGTGGACCGGGTGGGCCAAAGAGGGAGCGGTGTTGTCGATGCAGCTGCTGCTGCGGGTGCACCGGTCCGCCCGGATAACGCAGTGGCTGGATGATCTGGGCACGGACCTGGCTGAGGGACAGCAGGACCAATGCTAGGCAGCGGGAAATCTTTTGGGTCTGCATTGCTTAGGATCAGCTCGAGTGCTCGATGTTATCTGTGCATCAATTGGCGACCGAAGCCTTTTATATAAGCCACGCCGCTCCTGACCATGCCGTCTCTGGACAGACCAGGCCAGGCCAGTCTGAGCCTGATCGGGTCGTGAATTGGGTTATCAATTGTCTGCTCTGCATCAAACTGAACCGGCCAAGAGCGGGCCGGAAGCGTCAGACCGCGAGGCAAGCGGCACTCGGCATTGGCATTTGGTTAACTGGCTCAACACATTATTTACGCATTTTGGTAGGCCTAGGAAGTTTGCACCATTTATGGCTTCCATTGCATCACTGCAGCGAAGCCTAAATAAATGCCTGCAAATGAAAACGAAATCGACATGGACAAAGTAGACACAAAGGAAGGAAAACGGGTTCGCGTGCACGCAGCCACACAACTGTGTAGCATAGAGTTCGCGCCTTGCCAGTGGCTTAGTTGACGGCGGGAGCCGTCTAGTTCCACGACTTTTTGTCCTCTTTTTGTCCGTAGGTAGCCATCGTAGTGGAGTCTCCACCAACGGAATCACAGCGCGTGTCACTATCAGAAGCGGTTCCAACTAATGTTGGCCTGTCATCGATCATGATCGTCGCATGCTCACCGCCAGAAGTGGTTTCCTGGGGATGGCGAAAAACTTGAGATCCATCAGGGACTCCTCCTCGTGAAGCTGGCTGGCGGCCAGTTAAGCTCCAGCAAGGAGCAATTCTTATATAGTAATGTTTTAGCTAATACATTATTTAAATATTATATTAACTTATAAATTAAACGAATAGTAGAAGCAACGCAATCGATCCGACATTCTGTTTTAACGATTTACGCCTGCGCGTAGAACGTAGATACGTTTTGCACAGTGGCGCCCTCTCTAACTAGAAACATCGATATCAGCATGAGAATATATTGCAGGGCCATCGGCTGGGGCTGGAACGATATATTCAAACCCAGCTTTGCCATTGCAACACTCCGGCAACGAAAGAGAAGCAAAAACAAACAGCAGCAGCCACAGCTCAACTCCCCAGCCTCCCCACTCGCCTCCCCGAATCAACACGACAAAGTGTAGGCATAGGTATTTTCTCGCCGTTGTTATTTTTGTTAGTGATAGTGTTGTTGTCATATGTACGAACTCGAACGTGATCGGTGGAGATCTCTTGCGCAGAATCAGCTCCGTGTGTCACTGCCAACGTCATAGGCAGTGTAGGCTTTGATAACCATTACTCGTAATATTGTGCTTCTACTCGCGACTTGACAAGTAGTTCTAATACGTGTTATTGCCAATCTTTGTGCTTTTCGATTGGCGGCCGAGTGCTGTGCGTCGAGCAAAATGCAAATAAATAAATAACATTTAAAATCGCTTAACAAAAAAAAAAGTACCAAAAACCACTGTAGGGTAAGCCAAGTCATACCAACAATTGTGTGCCATTGTGCAGGCCAGTGTAGTTGCAGTAGTTACACACGCACACACACATGCACATGAATGGGATGTACCATAACGAAATAATAAAGAAGCGGCTGTTCTCTGTCCCTTTTGTGCCTGCCTGACTATCCGATGCTGCGAAACGACATTGGGAATTCAATTCCCACCCTCTGTAGAGCAGCCTCACACACTCGCAGCCTTACTCGTGCTCACTAATTCTCTTTTCGCCAAATCCTTCCGGCTTGGTTTTGGTTTTTATTTATGTTCGAAGATTAGTTGATTGGGGTGCGCTGATTTAGATTCGATTTTAAAACTGTCCTCGAAAATCTCTTGAATCTCTGACCAAGAGCAGCTGCACAGCGCCCAAACCAATGAATCACCCTCGTAACCAACCTCCTCCCCACCACCGCAGAGCCAGAGGCAGTTTTTTCACTGGTTATCAATAAATTTACATTTTCGACTTTTGATTAGTTAACAGGCGTAAGAGAAATACTACATTTGTACATACATATGTACATATCTACGTACATACATATGTACACATATTTTCTCTTCAATGACACCAAAGAACACTGAAATATTTATTGCTTTTTTTTTTTTTTTTTTTTTTTTTGAGGTTATAAGTTACCGCTCTACCCTTGGGTAGGGGGGAATTATTTGGCCACCCGCCTTTACAAGGGGGAAATCGCCACGTCGAAATATGTAACTTGTTACAGCTTTGCTCCAATACTTACCTGGCGTAGAGGTTATGTTCCCCCATATTTATTGGTTAAAAAAAAAAAACGCCATCTAGAGAAAAACAAAATTTGTATCTGCGTTGCTTTAGAAGAGAACAAGAAGGGGCGTGTGAGACGCTTCTTACGCGTCACAACTTTTATACCCGGCCCTCATTACTACATCTGCACCTTAGCGGTGTTTTGTAAAATTTTAAATTTTTTCTTCATCTGTCATCTACATCTACGAAACTTCTCGCACCAACACGCTCCTTTAGCTCGCCCCCCTTCCGTAGACCCACACACTGCAGACTCGCGGCACAGGCAGTGGCCGCACACAGCAGAAGCAGAAAGTGAATGAGAGAATGTGAAAAAAAACAAATATAAGCTGCGGGACGGAGTGGGTTTAGCCACTGCAAATTAATTTCTTCATTCTGGCTATAATAATAACCCAATCGGATCCCAATCTGATGGTGATCTGATAGATATGGTCATTGCATACAGAATGGCGTTTTTAGTTTTCTTTTATTATACCCGGTACTCGAAGAGTAAATTGTATTGTATTGTATTTGAATAACGGTTGTATGTAACGCACAGAAGAAAACGTTTCCAACCCCATAAAGTATATATATTCTTGATCAGCATCAATAGACGAGTCGATAGAGCCATGTCTGTCTGAGCCATGTACTTCTCAGAGACTATAAGAGCTAGGGCCACCAAATTTTGCATACAAATATGCTCACAATGAAACCAGTGAATTTCAAAAATGAGCCACGCCCCCTTCCGCCCAGAAAAAGGGCGAAAACCTCCCAAATCTACAGTTTTGAAGATAAAAGAAAACGCCATTCCGTAGGAAACGGCCATATCTATCAGATCACCAAATTGGGATCCGATTGAATCATTATTATAGCCACAAAGGAAAAATTAATTTCCAGTGGCTAAACCCACCCTGTCCCGCAGCTTTTGTTGTTCTTTTTACATTCTCTCATTCACACTCTGCTTCTGCTTCACTCGGCCCCTGTCTCTGCCCTCCCCCTGCCTTTGCACCTGCCGACTTTTAACCCATCCCGTCCCGCAGCTTATATTTGTTTTTTTTTGTTGTGTGCGGGCGCTGCCTCTGCCGCGAGTCTGCAGTGTGTGGGTCTAGGGAAGGGCGGGGAGCTAACGGAGCGTGTTGGTGTGAGTAGTGTTGTAGAAGTAGATGAAAGATGAAGAAAAAATTTAAAATTTGACAAAACACCGCTAAGGTGCAGATGTAGTACTGAGTGCCGGGTATAAAAGTTGTGACGCGTAAAAAGCGTCTCACACGTCCCTTCTCGTCTTTAAAATTGTAGATTTGGGAGGTTTTTGGCCTTTTGTGGGGCGGAAGTAGGCGGGGCTCATTGAAATGCACTTGTAACAGGGTGAGCATACAGAAGTCTGGATGCAAAATTTTGGGGCTCTAGCTCTTATAGTCTCTGAGTACCAGGCGCTCATCAGGACGGACAGACAGACATGGCTCAATCGACCCGGCTATTGATGCTGATCAAGAATATATATACTTTATGGGGTCGGAAACGTTTCCTTCTGTTTGTTACATACTCTGTGCACAAATACCCTATTTACTGTTCGAGTACCGGGTATTATAAAATTCAAAATCTAGTTTGATGGTCCATAAAATATTCATATTTGTTGCATATTTAAGAATGTAAATATGCTCGTACCGAGGGCCTAACTAGAACGGGGGCTAAGTAGCCATCTCTGCCCCTTAATCGTCTGTCTGTTTTATCCCCAAAAACTTCAATCTATGTATATACAGAAATTGTCCTTCTGCCACGATGCATGGACATCCAAACACTAAATGTTATTTGTCAATTTGCATATAAGTTAGTTTGTAACTTATAGTACATACATATATATGTACATACTACATATGTATGAACAAATGTGCATATATCAAGTTTTTTGCATAGATAGTAAATTAAAAGTACATGGTCCTCAGAATATGTACATATGTTTGCGACATTGGTACTAAATATTCGATCCCTTTGCAGAAGAACAAAAAAAAACTTAAAATTATACACATACATATTTATGTACATGGCGTATGTATGTATGTATATACATTTGTTGATAGATCTTTTTTTTTGGTCTTTCCTTTGGTTTATGTCTTGGTTTCCGAAGAATTTCGAGTTGTGGGAATCCAGTGCTGATAAGACTGTTTGGGGTGTAATTTCATGCATGTACATACGTAGACAGTTACATACATATGTATGTACATATGTACATACACATATATGTATGTATAAGCTCATATTTGCTTAGCTGCGTGTGCACAGTGCGTTTATAGGGGCGCACGAGTGAGAGCGTCG